TATATATATATATATTTTTTTTTTTTATCTTTGCATTCAGACATGATTGAAGAGTGTTCCGAATTGAAAGAAAAGTGTGACAATGAGTCACAGCCAAACATTTGCAGGGAATAGTCTTCAGCGTAGCCTCAGGCCTCAGACAACATAGGCTGGAAATTCAGCTGAGAACAAAACGTGCCATCTTGTTCTTCCTCTCTTTCTCTCTGCAAATGAAAAAATCCAGCAGTCCAGAGCTGCAGATTTCCAACCAAGAACAGCTCATCGTAGGACCCCGGCAACCCCGTACATACAAGTGTTGAACACCCGGCTGTAGTCAGGCCAAGAAATGTGAAATGTTAGCAGATGTGGAAGTGCACTCTATGTGTATCGGGGCCCTCCCTGATATCAAACATGATCTAGGGGTATTAATGTTACCACATCAAATCGTATAAGTGAAATCAGAGCACTGTTAAGGTTTGAATTTCAGGGACAGAGAGTTTTTGAACTTTCTTGTTGATGTTCATGAAAGTGCATGTCTAGTCAGGTTGTGTATTTATGTATAAGTAATAATCACATTGTGTGGCTCTGCAACCCTAGACAGCTTAGAGAACATCTTGTGCCAGTTTGTTGTGCAGTGTGGAAAATCAGTAACATTTGGTTGTGGTGGTCTTGCATAACTTGAGTGTACATCAGCTGTTTACTGAGCTAAGTTTATTTACTTGTTTTTATTTTGTTTTTTTGCAGAAACCGTCCTCAAATGTTGAGGTCTTTGTTATAAAAATGTAAAACTCTCCCATTATTTGTATTCATTTTAAATATTTATATTTACTTTTTGCTTTTCAATATGTGCAGTTTCTTCACCACTAGCATTACAAAAAAAAAAAAAAAAAAAAAAAAAAAAAAAGAACCATAACAAAATTGACTGTTTTCAAACAGGTTTCCAGAACACATATTCCATTGTTAGGCCAAACAGACAGTCCCATCCCAAACACATGCCATTGGTCAAGGGATTTTACAGAACATCTTGTGCAAGTTTGTTGAAATTGAATACAGGTGTGGAAAATCATTAACATTTGGTTGTGGGCTATGTTCACTCAGCTAACAAGTTTATCTACTAGCTTTTAATTATACAGTGCACAGCATAAATGAGTACACCCCCTCTAAAACTTAACAAATTCAGCAATTACTCTTTACTTAGAAGTCATGTTAGGGTTCTTTGGAGAGGTAATGTTCCAACAAGCCTGCTTGATCAATTACCAAAGAAGAATGCCAAAATTATTCAGCAAAATAAGATTTTCTTATCAAATTGATAAAATGTTGTGTTGCAAAAATGAGTACACCCTCCTGAAAGTTACTAAATAAAAAAAATTAATTAAAAAAGTGTATAGGTTTAAGGCTATTTTTGATCAACGGGTAAGTATATTGAACCAAAACTTTTAAAGACAAGTAATTTCCTGACAATTAAAAGTGTTATATAGCCTACTGAATCATACTCAGACTTAATGCTGGCAGCAGTGGAACCACTTGGGAGAGAACTGCCAGGTGACTTATTTCTTAACATAAAAGAGGACAATGCTACAAGAGGAATACCAAATTATTGTTTTAAGTGTGAAAATATAGCAGAAGTAGCACCAAAATTCAAAAACAGTGGACTTGTGATAAGGCTCCTGAAATAATCAGGTCTTCACTTTAAGTTTTAATTTAGTGATGAGTGAATTTTTGCTAGAAAAAGAGCCGGAGAAACACTGTGAAAGTGTCTCAGAGTCGACAAAAGCTATGAAAAGAGTGACACTTTATCTCACAGAGTATGACGCAGCCTGCAGAAGTGACATGCATGGTTGTTGTCACCACTAGAATTACCGACTGTAGCCAAAGCAAAATAAACTCATTTAACCTCTTCCAGGGCCCGTATTTACAAAATCTAGACTTCTGGGAATCCATACTCTGGTCTCAAGAGACCAAGTCAATCATTTCGGATCTAACAGAATACGAAATGTTCTGGTGTTGCTAGAGGAGGAGTACAGAGAGAAGTGCCTGGTTCCCACAGTGACGTTCAGTGGTAGTAAAGCTCTTCTATAGGGATGTATGAGTGCTGAAGGTGTGAGGGAGTTGTGCTTTATCAACACTGGCATGAATTCACACTCCACTGTGTGATGTAACACAAAAACCTGAAACTGAAGATGCTACCCTCTTCTCATTCCCTGCATTGTTGGGCATTTTTTCAGCATGACAATGAAGATATTCATTCTCCCAAGGTGAAAATCCTTCAGTGGACATGTATTTCCCTCAATCTTAACACTCTTGAGCTGCTGTGAGAGATTATGTAGAGACGAGCTGAGCAACACTCCCCATTAAAGACCAGAGCATTTAAGGAGGTCGTCCTCCAGGAGTTAAACAGAACAGATGTGAAAATTTGTCATGAACTTGTACACTCAGTGCCAAGAAGGGCCAGAGCAGTGTACTTTAAGTT